GCTACAAGCATGGACGGCTTCAAAAGGGGATTAGATAAGCATATGGAGCAGAGGTCCATCAGTGGCTATTAGCCACAAGGTATTGATAGGGGCTCTGGGGTAAGTGATGCTCTGTCTTCTTGGTTCTTGGGGTGTGTGTCAACAGTGGGAGGGCTTCTAATGTCCTGGCCCCACTGCTGGACCTCCGATGGCACCTGGTATTTCTGGCCACTGTGTGACACAGAGTGTTGGACTGGATGGGCCTTTGGCCTGATCCAACATTGGCATCTCTTATGTTCTTATGTTCTTATGTTCTCTCCAGGGTCTGAGGAGGAGGTCTTTCCCACCACCTACTGCCTGGTCTTTTTAGCTGGGGATGCCAGAGATTGAACCTGGAACCTTCTGCATGCCAAGCAGATGCTTTACCACTCAGCCATGGTCCCTCCCCACAGCTCTCCAGGGTCTCAGGCAGAGGTCTTTTCCACCACCTACTGCCTGGTGTTTTTAGCTGGGGATGCCAGGGACTGAACCTGGGACCTTCTGCATGCCACTGCTCTGCTCTGCCACTGAGCCATTGAGGTCTTTCCCATCACCTACTGCCTGGTCCTTTTAGCTGGAGATGCTGGGGATTGAACATGGGACCTTCTGTATGCCAAGCAGAGGCCCTTCCCCTGAGCCACACCCTTCCCCGTGTCTCAGGCGGAGGTCTTCCCCACCACCTACTGCCTGGTCCTTTTAGCTGGGGATGCCAGGGACTGAACCTGGGACCTTCTGCATGCCACTGCTCTGCTCTGCCACTGAGCCATTGAGGTCTTTCCCATCACCTACTGCCTGGTCCTTTTAGCTGGAGATGCTGGGGATTGAACATGGGACCTTCTGTATGCCAAGCAGAGGCCCTTCCACTGAGCCACACCCTTCCCCGCCAAGTCCAGTCTGCCGAGAATCTGCTAAAAAGACAGAGATTCTGATCATGCTGCTAATGGGGCTGAGGTTCCCGAAGAAGAAGGGCGTTAAACCGAGAAATACAGCAACACTCCACCAAGAGCTTATTTACCTGTCCTGAGTCCCGTGCGAACCCACTTTCTCGTTCTTCATGCAGAAGTCAGGCGAGCTTTGCAGGTAAACCAACTCTGTCTCCTTGACCGGACGGATATCGATATCCTTAGGGACGAGATGCTTGCGTGTCCCCATGGGGCGGTGTACCACCTTGGTGGCCGAGAGGTATTTGTTTTTTAAGTCTTGGGCAACCTCTCTCAGCTCCTGAAGGCCCCTCCAGCAAGTCTTGATGGAGCAAGAGCCGGAGACGCCGTGGCACTTGCATTTCATCTCCAGGGAAGCTTTCAGGGCCTGCAAAACCAGCGAACGGAAAAAAAAAAAAGGATTCTTGAAGAGACAATTCCTCTCCTTTCTCACACGTTCGTCCCCCACCTCCCCCCACCACGTGCCCTAGACAGGTGACCGTCAAGGCTGTGTGCATGGGGCATCAAAATAAAAAGCAAGCTATGACGCTCCTGCAGGAAATGACCCCTGCATGGGGCATCAAAATAAAAAGTAAGCTATGATTTGCATAGAATTTGCTAGGCTTGCCAACTCCAGGTTGGGAAATTTGGGGGCGGAGCCCAGTGGAAGCAGGGTTTGGGGAGGGGAGGACCTCGGTGAAGTATAATGCTATACAGTCCACCTTCCAAGGTAGCCATTTTCTCCTGGGGAACTGATCTCTGTAGTCTGGAACAATGTTCCCTCTAAGCTGTGGAGTCTTGCGTTCCATCGTCTATTCCTGCCCCTGAGTATTCACGAAAGAAAAAAAGAGTCCCGCCCTGACCTGGATATGAGGTACAGGGTTTGCTTTTATTGCTGAAATTGCGAGCAAAAATTCTACTTTGTGAGCTGCTGGCGTTAACGTTGTGAGCGAGCGATTTGGCTCCCGCATAAATTAGTTTGCTCCGGAGCCATCCTTCCTGAGCGAAGAGAAAAACCTGTGAGCTGGAGGCTCAAAAACTGTGAGCTAGCTCACACTCACTCAGCTTAGAGGGAACATTGGTCCGGAGATCAGTTGTATTTCTGGGAGATCTCCGGTCTTTGGGGCCCCAATCTGCCGTGGCCAGCAGGGGGAGCCCCACCCCCAAACAGGGACATCGATGTAACCCAGAAGTGACATCATCGTGTTGCCAGTGTCGGGGAGGGTGACACTCTAGTTTTGGGGAAGACTCTATGGTTCTGAGGGCAAAAACCCCCACAGAGCAAAACCCCCCAAAACTAGAGCATCACCATCCCACCGACATCAGCAAAGTGATGACGTCACTTCTGGGTGATGTCATGGCAGTGCAGGAGCTTTGCGCGTGCGCCGGAAGATTCCAACTGGCTGCCAGGAGGAAGGTAGGACCTAGCAACGCTACCTCACCTGGAGTTTGGCAACCCTACACTTTTCATACATCTCCCTGGAATGGGGCCTTTCCGATGGGTTCACATTCATCCCTTTAGGATGTAGTGTTGCCACGTCCCTACCTTCTGCTGGTGGGAAGACAGAATTTCCTTTCCTGGATTTTCTGGTGTGCGTGTGTAGCACGCACACACACCCCATGATGACATCACCCAGAAGTGACATCATCATGCGAGCCAGTTTGGGGTAGTGGTTAAGTGCACGGACTCTTAATCTGGGAGAACTGGGTTTGATTCCCCACTCCTCCACTTGCACCTGGCTGGATGGCCTTGGGCAAGTCGTGGTTCTGATAAGGGCTGTTCTTGAAAAAGAGCCGTTTCTGTCAGAGCTCTCTCAGCCCCACCTACCTCCCAGGGTGTCTGTTGTGGGGAGGGGAAGGGAAAGGACTTTGTAAGCTGCTCTGAGGCTCCTTTGGGTAGTGAAGGGCAGGATATAAACCCAATCTCTTTTTCTTCTTCTTTTACCTCACAGGGCGTCTGTTGTGGGGAGGGGAAGCGAAAGGAGTCTGTTAGCTGCTCTGAGACTCCTTTGGGTAGTGAAGGGCGGGGTAGAAATCCAATCCCTTTGTCTTCTTCTAGGCATGTCGCCAGGGGGATGCTTTCGCATTCAGCCAGAAACTCTATGGTACCATAGGGTTTTTTGTCTGAGTGCTAGAGTGTCCCCCGGGGCTGCCACGATGATGTCACCTCCAGGTGACATAATTGCACCGGGCATGTTGGTGCGATCCTTGCCCTTTGGGGGGTGGGGCTACCCCTGCCGGCCAGATCTGGGCCGGTGGATCGGGAGCCCCTAAGGCAGGCAAACACCCACCCCCAGTGTGGGAATGGCAAGCCTATTAGGATGCTTTGGAGAGGAAACAAAATTACTCTAAGCAATAGGCCCGTCCCCTATAGGCCACAAAAGGAAGGAAGGAAGGAGTGTTTCCACTTCCCCCTGATCCCAGTAGCACCCCCCCTCCAAGCCTCCAAAATGATGATGCAGGGAGGAAATAGGAGCCTTGCGGACGAAATGCCACAATGCACAGGGAGATTTCGTGAAGAGAGGGACTTGTGAAATGCATCCCTAGGGCAAGAAGAAAGATTCCACTGGCAGAAAAACAAAGGCAGGGATAACCATCTAATTCCTCTCCTCTCTGCAACCCCATAAGATTTTGTCCCGGAGCATTTGAGGCTCCCTGGCTATAGACTGTCAGTCTCACCCAGGGGTCTCCAACACGGCGCCCATGGGCACCATGGGAACATTTGGCTATACAATCTCAGGAGAATATATAGTTGACCAGAGAGAAGTACTACTGGACATGTGATTGCACTGGAGGTTTCATTTGTATTTTTGCCCAGTGGTTAAACTTTGAAACAATTGTTTTCTGGCCTTTATTCCATATTCTGTATATGTATGATTGTATATATTTTTACATATTAGCCAACATGTTCTGTCTGTATTAGACCTCTGAGGAAGGCCTGTGAAGGCCGAAACGCGTTAGGTCTATCTTATCAGCCTTTGTATTTTTGTATTTTTATATTTGTATATGAGGTATGAATGTCCCCTTATTTGTTATTTTAATTTGGGTTCAATAAATATATGTATATTTTTGTGTGTTTCATAATTAGATTTTTAGAGTTGGCCCTCTTCTATTCTTGACTAACCTTTTTAGGTTCTGAATTCTGGGTTCCCTTTAGTCACCATGAGTAGTCACCACTGATAGACCTGTCCTCCACAAATCCATCTAATCCCCTTTTATTCTGATGAAACTGGGCCACCGTGGACAATCCAGGTCAGGGCACTCATATTCCAAGGTCTATGAAACAATGCGAGCACAATCCACTCTGCACTATGTGCGGCAGAAGGGCTCCTGCTCAGCTTCCGCATCTGCCCAGTTTGTCCATGCTCAGGAGGGAGGGATGAGAGCAGTGGTTGGCCAAGCTGGATCTTGGCACAGCCAAGAAGAAAAAGGTGCTGTTGAGTCACAACTGACTTCTGGCAACCCCAACCGTGGGGCATTTCAGGCGTGAGAGAAGTAGAGGTGGCTTGCCATTGTCTGGCTCCGTGTGGAACCCTGGACTTCCTTGGGGGTCTCCCATCCAGTTATTAACCGTGGCTGACCTTGCTTAGCTTCTGAGCTTCTGAGATGAGCTTAGGCTAGCTCAGGCTACCCGGGCCATGGCACCCCCAGGTGCTCAGGCCTGTGCTAAATGGAACAAAGCAGGGACTGCCTGAACAGAAAGAAGATGTATCCTCTGAGTTACAGCTCTATGCAGTCTGGGGGGCAGTTTTCAGGAAGTGAGCAGAGGTAACTTGTTGGGTTAGCTGGCAAGACTATGTAGATAATGGAATATGCATAATTTTTTAAAAAATACAGGAAGAATTAGACAAAATCTCACAGTAACTGTAGGACCTGCTTCCAAACTATTGGAACATCAAGGAAATGAGCCAGTGTTTGAGGTCACCCAACCTCTTCTGCTGGAAGGATGATTTCTTCACCCAAAGAGTGATTAACACATGGAATTCACTGCCACAGGAAGTGGTGGGTGCTACAAGCATGGACGGCTTCAAAAGGGAATTAGATAAGCATATGGAGCAGAGGTCCATCAGTGGCTATTAGCCACAAGGTATAGCTAGGGGCTCTGGGGCAAGTGATGCTCTGTCTTCTTGGTGCTTGGGGGGGGGTCAACAGTGGGAGGGCTTCTAATGTCCTGGCCCCACTGCTGGACCTCCTGATGGCACTGGTATTTCTGGCCACTGTGTGACACAGAGTGTTGGACTGGATGGGCCTTTGGCCTGATCCAACATTGGCGTCTCTTATGTTCTTAACATTGGCATCTCTTATGTTCTTATCTTTCTTACTTACTTACTTTCTCTCTCTCTCTCGCTCTCTCTTTCTATTTCAGTTTCTATTTATATCCCACCCTATGCCACAAGCAGGCTTTCTTGGTGCCTGGCTATACCGACAGGATGCCTTTTTAACGGAACATATTGTTTTCAAGTATTTCTAAAAAACACTCGCCAGGCAATAAGAAAGGTGTCGGGAGGGCACGATCGTGCCCCTGGGCACCATGTTGGAGGCACCCGAGTCAGACTGTCAGCAAGGCTTCAGGTTGGAGATCTGTTTGGCTGCTCAGATTTTTGAGAAAACTTTGCTTTGGCAGCAGCTGCCACAAGACAAGGGCCTTCGATGCACGATTAAAGATAAGGGGGGCTTTCATGCGTGCGAAATAATGCCGTTTCAATCCACTTTGGAGACTGCAAGTGGAGCTTGCCCATTTCACACACTGAAAGCAAAATGGGCCCATAGCCACAGCGGTGCATTTCGGGGCTATGCCCCCTTAATCAAAAGCCGCGCCTCCACAAAAGCCATGCCAGAAAGCATTTCAAAATATTCATTAAGCCCTTAATTCACTTCAAGTTACTTAAGCACCCCCTAAGAAATTTAAATGCCCCCCAACAAAAGAACTCCTGGCTATCTCCAAAGCTATGTGTATGCAAGAAAATGGTTTTAAACAATGTGTTCATGTAAAAAGTCATCCTTGGGAGCAGAGCAGCTGTCTGAGATGTTGAAGAATTAAAGAGTCGGATTAGGCATAACCTCCCCCCCCTGATGTTTTGTGGTTGGCCCCACCTCCTATGGCAGCCATTTTGCGGTTGGCCCCGCCTCCTGCAGCCGCCATGTTGGGATTGTGCCCACTGCACTGTGTCAGAATTCCCGTAGTGCCCACAGGCTCTAAAAGTTTGGTGACCCCCCCCTAGTCTAACCATAGTATCCCATTGGTACAAATTCTGTTGGTGCTGAGATCTGCTCATTCATCAATGAGGCATTTTGGAGTCGACATGGTAAAATCCAAATGCCATATCTTTGGGGAGGCAAGAGGTCTTGATTATAATCAGCAGGGACAGACAGTTTAGGCAGGGATAGAAATACTGATATTTCAGTTTGTCCTTCAGCAATAAGGAGCCCGGCGACAGCTTTAGAAGACCAGGCACATTTCTAGTGGCCTCTGGAATCACCTGAATCGGTAGCTGCAGTACCACTTTCCGGCCATCCACAGTGGTGGCGCTGAAGAGCAGCAGAGAAGGGGCCAGAAACTCCTTTCTCTGGCAAGTTACCATTGTTGTTTAGAGAATTAACTTCCTGACGGTTAGAGCGGTTCCTCAGTGGAACAGGCTTCCTCGGGAGGTGGTGGGCTCTCCTTCTTTGGAGGTTTTTAAACAGAGGCTCGATGGCCATCTGACAGCAATGCTGATTCTGTAAACTGAGGCAGATCACGAGAGGGAGGGCAGGAAGGGTTGCCTCAGTGCTTAGTTCTCGTGGCCCTTTCTTACACGCCCAGGGAAATGCAGATCGCCACTTTGGGGTCAGGAAGCAATTTTTCCCCAGACCACATTGTATGGGGATTCTGGCGGGGGTTTTTTTTTGGTCATCTTCTGGGTATGGAACAGGGGTCACTGGGTGCATGATGGGGAGAATGTATTTGTGAATTTCCTGCATTGTGCAGGGGGTCAGACTAGTTGGCCCTGGAGCAACACTCCCTCTAAGCTGTGGAGTCCCGTGAGCAAAAATTCTACTTTTTTGAACGATTGGCATTAAAGTTGAGAGCAAACGATTTGGCTACCGCATAAATTACTTTGCTCTGGAGCCCTCCTTCCTGAGCTGAGACAAAAAATGTGTGAGCCAGAGGCTAAAAAACTGTGAGCTAGCTCACACTAACTCAGCTTAGAGGGAATATGGCCCTGAAGTTCCCTTCCAACTCTATGATTCTATGGTTCTAATAAGCTGTCTGGCGTCAGCATCCCTGGGTTGAAATGCCAATGCTTTAGAGCAGGAGTGTCGAACTCATTTGTTATGAGGGCCGGATCTGACATAGACGAGACCTTGTTGGGCCGGGCCGGGCCGTGTGTGTCATAAAATGTAATGCCAGGTAGCGGAGACTTTATGGTTTGTCCTCTCTGATATCCTGGTGGTTTGTCTTCTCTGATATCCTGGTATGGACGCTGTGTAGTTTGAGCACTTTACTATTTGGTTGGGTTTTAAATTGTACAGTATGTTTTTAAATGTACTAAAGTATTGATGTTTTTATGAGCAAGTTTTTGCCATGTAAGCCGCCCTGAGCCCTAAGGGGGAGGGCGGGGTATAAATTTAACAAACAAATAAATAAATAAA